GTCAATTTCTTAAGGCTTAGAGCTTAAATCACTATTGTAGACCGACGCTAATGGAAATAAGGGCAAATGGTTAAATAATTGTTCTATATTCCATAGGCATAATGCAGAAATAAATGCGATACTTAATTATTAGTTGAAATATGGTTTTGAAAAATGACGGGACGTCACATTACACTGCCATAGTAGTAACGTTTTATAATATATCTTTGATTAATAATAATAATAACACACATACACACATCTGTTATATAATAAAATAAATGGAATATAATTCTGGGCAACAATATTCTGCGCAGACGCTTAACGCTCGACGCTCGACACTGCCATGTTGTGGCGTTCCTGTGGCTAAATTCAAAATCATTTTTGTTACCAACTTCATGAAATATATTTGTAACCATTTTCACACATTTCATTTATTGATTTAACACTTTACATAACAACATATTAAACATACGACAAATTATGTAACATTCATTCGTTCGTTCATTGACCATCAATCTGTACACATCTTACTCGTGAATTAAATATTTTATTAGTAAAAAGGAAAGTCTAGTGATTTAACTATAACGCTACCACAACTGGTGACCCCGACGTGATCACGGGCTTTTGAGAATTCACGTTCAAGCGTGGCGAATTTGAATCAGTGATCCGCGAATTTAGTGAGCCATCGAGTTTCGAGTTCCGCTGTGATTCTTGTGTGATTTGTGGCTTGTGTTCTTCGAGTTGACGAGATTTTCGAGTCATCGAATTTCCAAGGACAGCGATCTACTAGACTTCTGAAATTCACAACGCAGAGTATTGACAGAGTTTGACGATGCCTTTGGACGAATCTTCGACTTCGAATCCTACAGCGTCAGCATCAGTTCCATCGGCTGGAGAACATCATCAACGTTTGACGAATCCGACACAAACTCTTGCCAGTAATGAGCCTCATCAACAAGGTCAGCCAAACGAGATCCATTCTAACGAATTTCGCCTTGTTAAATTGCCGAATTTTTGGCATAAGCAGCCTAAATTGTGGTTTGCTCAATTAGAAAGCGAATTCTTGGTTTTTCGGATCCGCTCAGATGATGTTAAGTATAGCTCGGTTATACGGCATCTTGATGAGCAAGCTTTGTTGGCTATTGCTGATTTGATTGAAAATCCTCCTGAAAAAGATAAATATCTTCATGTTAAAAACGTTTTGATTAATCGGTTTACTGATTCGGAGGAAAAACGTCTTCGTCAATTGTTAGCTGGTGTTGAGCTGAATGACAAGAAACCGTCGGATTTGCTACGCGAAATTAAACAGTTAGCGGGAGGAGCGATTTCGGAAAATGTATTGCATTCAATTTGGTTGCAAAGATTACCTTCGCAAGTTCAAGCTACTTTAGCGGTTGTGGACGATTGTCCTTTAGTTAAGCTTGCTGAACTGGCTGATAAAATTTTGGACCGAGAAACTAACCTACATGTAGCAACAATAGCTTCCTCGGCAGGAAAAGACACTTCGAATTTTGTTGATCTCGAGCGAAGAATCGCAGCTCTGGAAGTTAGACGTGTACGCAGCAGATCTAAATTTAGATACAAGGAAAGAAAAAGATTTAGATCATCTTCTAGGAGTAAATCTGATAAGGATAACCAAAAAATTTGTTTTTATCATAAGAAATTTGGTGTTAAAGCTTTTAAATGTACAATACCTTGTGATATGTCTAAATCTTTGGTCGAAAGGCAGGAAAACTAGCTTCACCGTTGAGTTGTGAGGCGGCTGACAACGGTTCACCTAACAATCGCCTCATTATTTCTGATAAAACTTCAGGACTTAATTTTCTTGTTGATACAGGAGCTGATATTTCTTTGATTCCAAAAAGATTTGTTTCAAAAGCTCAAGTTGCTTCTTTCAAGCTTTATGCAGCTAATGGAACCAAGATTAATACTTACGGTATAAAAATGTTAACTGTAAATCTTGGATTACGAAGAATTTTTAAATGGAAATTTTGCATTGCGGATATTCAGAGACCTATATTGGGCGCAGATTTTTTGAGTCATTATGGAATTTTAGTTGACATTAAAAACAAAAAACTTCTAGATAGTGTTACCGGTCTTTCATTTAAAGGAAAACTATCTAAAGTTAATCACTTGTCAATTTGCACTACATTTCCTGACTCACCTTTCCATAAGATCCTTGCTGAATTTCCTGAATTAACTCATTTTGCTCCTATATCAACAGACAAGATTCATCAAATTGAGCATCATATTATTACGAAAGGACCACCAATTGCTTCAACTCCTCGCAGGTTGTCACCGGAAAAATTAAAATTTGCAAGAGACGAATTTAATTTTATGGTGGAACAAGGAATTTGTAGACCGTCAAGCAGCACCTGGGCAGCTCCACTTCACATGGTTCCTAAAAACGGACCGAACTCATGGAGACTTTGCGGCGACTATCGAGCTTTAAATGCAGCTACTGTTCCAGATCGATACCCGCTTCCTCACATTCAAGATTTCACTGCTGGTTTACACGGTAAAAATAAATTTTCTAAGATTGACTTAGTTAAGGGGATCCAAAAGTGACGGCCGAACTCCGACGGGTTAGCGCCCTCATCCAAGCGTAACTAAAATTATCGATAATACCGACCGAAATTATCGATAATATCAATAATTTTAGTTCTGCTGTTACCAATATAAATATTTTTGCATGTTCTATGCATATTTTAAAGAGAATTGTGTTCAATATGTTGAAATCGGAGCACATCGTGTATTTCTACTGCTCTTATGCCTCGCACGCATATCTAAGCGTATTTAAGCATATAGATAACAGTATAATATAGACGTGTCTGCCTTTATCACATATTTGAACATAATTTCACATTGTTCATACGGGCTATGTGTCTTCCCATATATCTTCCAAGAGGAATAACATTTGGTTAGGTGTTATATATATAATTGTGTATATATATATATGTATATGTATAATATGTACATAGACGTATACAGATGTATGTGTATGATATATGATATATACATATATTCTGAATATTATCATGTAACTTTCTATAAGTTGCGATCTATGCAACGCAGCTAATTTTTTTCAATCGATATAATCAATGGATATATAACAACAATGTATTATTTATACAAATATATATTATATTGTCTTTTTTTGTTCGTATACATAAATGTTTATATATTTGTAATAAACATTTATAATACATTGTTTGTCTCCATCGCAACAGAATAATATATCGCCTCTGGCATATATTTTTTAACACACACGCAAATCGCATCTAGTGTGAAATAACAACCAGCTCACGAATTGATCGCCTCTGGCATATATTTTTTAACACACACGCAAATCGCATCTAGTGTGAAATAACAACCAGCTCACGAATTGATCGCCTCTGGCATATATTTTTTAACACACACGCAAATCGCATCTAGTGTGAAATAACAACCAGCTCACGAATTGATCGCCTCTGGCATATATTTTTTAACACACACGCAAATCGCATCTAGTGTGAAATAACAACCAGCTCACGAATTGATCGCCTCTGGCATATATTTTTTAACACACACGCAAATCGCATCTAGTGTGAAATAACAACCAGCTCACGAATTGATCGCCTCTGGCATATATTTTTTAACACACACGCAAATCGCATCTAGTGTGAAATAACAACCAGCTCACGAATTGATCGCCTCTGGCATATATTTTTTAACACACACGCAAATCGCATCTAGTGTGAAATAACAACCAGCTCACGAATTGATCGCCTCTGGCATATATTTTTTAACACACACGCAAATCGCATCTAGTGTGAAATAACAACCAGCTCACGAATTGATCGCCTCTGGCATATATTTTTTAACACACACGCAAATCGCATCTAGTGTGAAATAACAACCAGCTCACGAATTGATCGCCTCTGGCATATATTTTTTAACACACACACAAATCGCATCTAGTGTGAAATAACAACCAGCTCACGAATTGATCGCCTCTGGCATATATTTTTTAACACACACACAAATCGCATCTAGTGTGAAATAACAACCAGCTCACGAATTGATCGCCTCTGGCATATATTTTTTAACACACACACAAATCGCATCTAGTGTGAAATAACAACCAGCTCACGAATTGATCGCCTCTGGCATATATTTTTTAACACACACACAAATCGCATCTAGTGTGAAATAACAACCAGCTCACGAATTGATCGCCTCTGGCATATATTTTTTAACACACATGCAAAGTCAATTTCTTAAGGCTTAGAGCTTAAATCACTATTGTAGACCGACGCTAATGGAAATAAGGGCAAATGGTTAAATAATTGTTCTATATTCCATAGGCATAATGCAGAAATAAATGCGATACTTAATTATTAGTTGAAATATGGTTTTGAAAAATGACGGGACGTCACATTACACTGCCATAGTAGTAACGTTTTATAATATATCTTTGATTAATAATAATAATAACACACATACACACATCTGTTATATAATAAAATAAATGGAATATAATTCTGGGCAACAATATTCTGCGCAGACGCTTAACGCTCGACGCTCGACACTGCCATGTTGTGGCGTTCCTGTGGCTAAATTCAAAATCATTTTTGTTACCAACTTCATGAAATATATTTGTAACCATTTTCACACATTTCATTTATTGATTTAACACTTTACATAACAACATATTAAACATACGACAAATTATGTAACATTCATTCGTTCGTTCATTGACCATCAATCTGTACACATCTTACTCGTGAATTAAATATTTTATTAGTAAAAAGGAAAGTCTAGTGATTTAACTATAACGCTACCACAACTGGTGACCCCGACGTGATCACGGGCTTTTGAGAATTCACGTTCAAGCGTGGCGAATTTGAATCAGTGATCCGCGAATTTAGTGAGCCATCGAGTTTCGAGTTCCGCTGTGATTCTTGTGTGATTTGTGGCTTGTGTTCTTCGAGTTGACGAGATTTTCGAGTCATCGAATTTCCAAGGACAGCGATCTACTAGACTTCTGAAATTCACAACGCAGAGTATTGACAGAGTTTGACGATGCCTTTGGACGAATCTTCGACTTCGAATCCTACAGCGTCAGCATCAGTTCCATCGGCTGGAGAACATCATCAACGTTTGACGAATCCGACACAAACTCTTGCCAGTAATGAGCCTCATCAACAAGGTCAGCCAAACGAGATCCATTCTAACGAATTTCGCCTTGTTAAATTGCCGAATTTTTGGCATAAGCAGCCTAAATTGTGGTTTGCTCAATTAGAAAGCGAATTCTTGGTTTTTCGGATCCGCTCAGATGATGTTAAGTATAGCTCGGTTATACGGCATCTTGATGAGCAAGCTTTGTTGGCTATTGCTGATTTGATTGAAAATCCTCCTGAAAAAGATAAATATCTTCATGTTAAAAACGTTTTGATTAATCGGTTTACTGATTCGGAGGAAAAACGTCTTCGTCAATTGTTAGCTGGTGTTGAGCTGAATGACAAGAAACCGTCGGATTTGCTACGCGAAATTAAACAGTTAGCGGGAGGAGCGATTTCGGAAAATGTATTGCATTCAATTTGGTTGCAAAGATTACCTTCGCAAGTTCAAGCTACTTTAGCGGTTGTGGACGATTGTCCTTTAGTTAAGCTTGCTGAACTGGCTGATAAAATTTTGGACCGAGAAACTAACCTACATGTAGCAACAATAGCTTCCTCGGCAGGAAAAGACACTTCGAATTTTGTTGATCTCGAGCGAAGAATCGCAGCTCTGGAAGTTAGACGTGTACGCAGCAGATCTAAATTTAGATACAAGGAAAGAAAAAGATTTAGATCATCTTCTAGGAGTAAATCTGATAAGGATAACCAAAAAATTTGTTTTTATCATAAGAAATTTGGTGTTAAAGCTTTTAAATGTACAATACCTTGTGATATGTCTAAATCTTTGGTCGAAAGGCAGGAAAACTAGCTTCACCGTTGAGTTGTGAGGCGGCTGACAACGGTTCACCTAACAATCGCCTCATTATTTCTGATAAAACTTCAGGACTTAATTTTCTTGTTGATACAGGAGCTGATATTTCTTTGATTCCAAAAAGATTTGTTTCAAAAGCTCAAGTTGCTTCTTTCAAGCTTTATGCAGCTAATGGAACCAAGATTAATACTTACGGTATAAAAATGTTAACTGTAAATCTTGGATTACGAAGAATTTTTAAATGGAAATTTTGCATTGCGGATATTCAGAGACCTATATTGGGCGCAGATTTTTTGAGTCATTATGGAATTTTAGTTGACATTAAAAACAAAAAACTTCTAGATAGTGTTACCGGTCTTTCATTTAAAGGAAAACTATCTAAAGTTAATGTCAAGTCAATTTGCACTACATTTCCTGACTCACCTTTCCATAAGATCCTTGCTGAATTTCCTGAATTAACTCATTTTGCTCCTAACAAACAAGACAAGATTCATCAAATTGAGCATCATATTATTACGAAAGGACCACCAATTGCTTCAACTCCTCGCAGGTTGTCACCGGAAAAATTAAAATTTGCAAGAGACGAATTTAATTTTATGGTGGAACAAGGAATTTGTAGACCGTCAAGCAGCACCTGGGCAGCTCCACTTCACATGGTTCCTAAAAACGGACCGAACTTATGGAGACTTTGCGGCGACTATCGAGCTTTAAATGCAGCTACTGTTCCAGATCGATACCCCCGCTTCCTCACATTCAAGATTTCACTGCTGGTTTACACGGTAAAAATATATTTTCTAAGATTGACTTAGTTAAAGCTTATTACCAAGTGCCAGTTGCAAAAGAGGACATACCAAAAACTGCTGTTACTACTCCATTCGGCCTTTTTGAATTTCTTGTAATGCCTTTTGGTTTGCGTAATGCTGCTCAGACTTTTCAACGTCTTATGAATATCATATTATCTGGACTTGATTTTTGTGTCTGTTATCTTGATGATATCTTAATTGCTTCTGTTAATGAGAAAGAACATGCCAAACATCTTCATACTGTGTTTTCTCGGCTTAAACAATTCGGCATGACGATTAATTTGTCCAAATGTCTCTTTGGTAAGGATGAAATTTCTTTCCTTGGATATTTAGTTTCCAAGCAAGAAATTAAACCGACATCTTAAAAGGTTAAAGCCATTATTGATTATAAAAAA